CGCGTTTCCGCTGCAACTCGCGCCGCCGAAAAAACCAAACGAACACGCATTCGTCTGGAAAAAGGGGCACGTGCACCGCACCGTTTCCACCGGCTTTCGTTCTTTTATTTTTCCTCTGTGCGAATTCTACTATTTTTTTTACTTTCTACTGCGAATTTTTGCTTTCGAGACGGCCGCTTCTCGTTGCGACCAGGCTCGCCTCGCTTCCACGGGACGCGCCATTTTTACTCTTTCGGCTGACCTCGATTCCCGCCAGACGAAGGCAATTCAATTTGGTTTCAAGTAGATTGCGCAAGACGCATCGATCCGAAGATATCGACGTTCCGTCGAATTCTCGAATTTTCTCCTTTCTAGAGCCGATCTTTGACGCCTATCTTCGAACCTAGAGAATCCACGATTGTTGTTTTAGGAGAGTAGCGATGATCGTGGGTGGTAGAATTGGAAGGATGTTGGATGGTCTTGCGTTACGATTTTTTGGAGAAACGTTCGTCGATGGAGTTTTTTTAGTGAGATTCTTGGCTCGATGTTCGTTAAAGAGCTGAAAGATCGACGTAGAACGAACGCGATGGTAGTCTGTGCATTTCTCACCAAAGTTGCGCTTCTGAAGGGTCTTAGAGACGAGAAGAGAACGATTTTACGTGGACCGGCTGGCACGATCGTTCGTAGAGATATCGCGAGAGAAAATAGCGCGAGGCAAACGTAATTATACGAGTTTGGACTTTGCAGAGTATAATACATCGAAAAGTCGAATTGCACGCTCGATACTTTGTTTCCTTTACATATTTTAATGCCAATTGATCGTTGACTATCCGTGTAAGTTGTTTATAAGCTATCGGTAAAATACGAAAGCTACTTATACTTATTTATATACAAGTAACTTTACGAACGTGTAAATGTTACGTCGCACTTACGCTTGTTGTAAGGATGTGTTACGCTTGAATGAACGTTAAGGTGCATACGTGGCTCTTATCCTTTAAATCAAGGACTTTAATTAAAGAGAACGCGCGCTGCAAGCCACTCGTCATGAATAAAATGCAACAGTCTCGTGTCAATTACACACTGTATCAAGTTGTGATTAAAATTCTTCTCTCCACCTGCCCTTTAACTTTCGCAATTTATATTCGACTCTCAGTTCCTATTAAACGCGTTATTTCATCTCTATATCCTTATTTATGTCTTTCACACTTTGCAACTTGTGTGATCCGTAATTTTCGATTTTAATCTCGCTATTCGTATATTTGCTCTACTCCTCACTTTTCTCTTTCGTTTACGTTCTTCATTCGCGTTCTGTCCAAATGCAATCTATCGCTCTCTCTCTCTCTCCAATCGCATTACGTTTACCTGGCTCTAAGCTATTCTCGTTAATAGCATTCACATCTAGCGTTATATTAATTGGCTTAACGTCGATTATAACGCAATTGGTTCTTCGCGTGATATACGTACGCAAAGTTACACGCTTGTGCAGATACGCAAATATAGATATATTTGCTCGCACTAGGAACGATCGAATCTTTTACATCCGATATAAGCGCAAGAACGTGCAACGATATCGAAAAGCGAGCCACATGCCAAACAAACGGCAAACTACAAAAAACAAAACGGCAGCTGGAAGAAAAGATGGCCCTTGATGAAGACAGCGATGAATCAAGGAACCGCGTGATCGGTTTAGCAGTGTCCAACAAGGGTGATAATATATCGCGTATAAATTGTAGCAAAACCGTTGTCGCGGTATAAGCTAACCAACGCGAACGTTGATGGATAATAATCGCGTAATGAACGTGAATTATTGCATAATGCTGTGGAGGATCGGGCGTGGCCGTATTACGGGGCCCGAAGAGCGAGGAGGCGGAAAAAAAAGGGAAAAGAAAAAACCAAGCTAAAATCAATGTTCGCAAGATCGCGGTCTCGCGCGAGCGCGCGCCAGCCACTGCGTTCCCTTTTAAGTATTGCAACTGATAATCATACCCTTTATCCGTAGCAATTTACCACGCACCACAGTATATCATCGTCGCCTGTTATTTGCAGGTCGTCGAGAAACCTCCGACACACCGTTGCAACAACCTTTCGAAGATTTCTTGATTTCCGACGTGAGAAGAATAGCTTTTTTTCAACGCAGGATAATATTCGAACAATCTGTTCTTTTTCTCGCATTTTTCTTTCTGCCGTTTGGAATGCCGAGAACCATAGCGGTGCAAGCCGGTTCGATCCTCCACAAAATAGCGTTCTGCGTTGATTATTTAAAAAAACGATGATCGTATCTTCCTTCGTGCGATGAAAACGTATGGCGACAGAGGATACTAAAGGAACGATACTTTCGGGAATAGGCGACTAAACGCAAACGTTCGAAGTTCCTTTCGTTTACCGTTCTCTCTTTCTCCTTGCGATAACTTTTCTCTTATTACAGAAATTACTACACGCTATACGTACTATAGCAACGATCGCATGACTTTTGCAGCGCTTGTCGCTGAAAGTAGCGAAAGCCACGCGATACTTGCGCTACGTAACAGTTTGCGAATGTCGTGTGAATATTAGGTACAAATAAAGAAAAGAAAAAAGAGGAGGGGAGAAGATGTACTGTTCTAAGTTTCGAACTTAATTTCCCTCTGAGATGTGTCCAACGATAAAAGGTAATTTATTCCAGGAGGAAAATTTCGAAAAAAAGAGGCGCACGAAAATAGTAGCTTTGTTCCGTGTAGAGAAACACTTGGCCGAAAAAAGAAAAAACGGTAGAGAACCTTTATTTCTAAAGAAAAATGTAAAACTAATGGAAGGAAGAATAAAAGAAAATAGATTTCCGAGGAAGGTAAGAGAAGAGGAAGCAGCGTTAGGTTTGTCGAGAAGGCGAGAAGAGGAGAGAGGATTCCTTTGAGAAGAAGCAAGAGGAGGGAAGGAATTTCCATTGAAGAGGATGAGGCTAAAGAAAAGAACTTTCATTGAAAGCGTTCTCGAGAAACTGCTTTCCTTTTCAAAAGTGCCGACAAGATAAATGCAATTCGTTAAAGTAACGAACTTTTAAAAAGAATTTTAACAAAAAGTTTAACGAACAAATAAGAAGGGCAAACGTATTTCTTTCAAGGAGAACGAAAAAGAAATGAAATATGAATCGAGCATTTTATGTAAATGAGATCGCAGTTATCGACGAATCTTACAAAATTCCACCGACACGAACAAGCCTCGTTTTAAAAAAATCGACCAGCGTAGTTAGCCTAACAATAAAAGATCGCGTATTCTTCGCGGTTCGACGACTTCGCGTTCCTCGCAGTATGTTGACCTGCGAAGGAAGAGATACGCAGCCGTAGGTACGAAAGAAAAGACGAAAAAACGAGCAGCGGATCGATCAAACGGCGAAGAAAACAAACAAAATACCGAATTGACCGAATAATTCCATCTATCGTCGTATCGTCGCGATTCGTCTTTCATTTCGCAACGATGTATCGCGAGTGGCTAACGGAAAGATCGCGCTTGAAACAAGAGATCGTAGAAATGAAAAGCTACGAAGTATAACAACGCAGTCCCCGACGTTTCGTGGACGTTGGTAAATAATTTTAGCTCTGAACCACAGCACGCTTTACTCAATTTATTTACGCGATTACGAAGCGACACATAACTCGAATATTTTTGTCCTACAATGGTATCGCATTGGCGCAATTTTTGCGCATTATCTCGCTATTCGAGCCTCGATGGGTTAAACATACCCTCGTCCATGGAGAACGGAAGGAAAAAGAAGAAAATGATAAATCTTACGTAAAATGTTGGTGAAAAAAAGAGGAAAGAAATATGGAAAGAAGAGATTTACAAAGTCGGTGGTCCAAGGGGACTCGATGGAGATAATACGAGTGGTCGGGTGGTAGGAAAGGGGTCGAAACGATCGTGGAAACGACGAGAAGGGAAAAGTGGCGCGCGTGCAAGAGGAAGAATGCGGCGAAAGGGCAGGGCCAGAAAAGGTAGACGGGGGGAGTGGGGCGAGAATTCGAAGAGCGGCGTACGAGCATCTTATTTCAATATTTTAAGCGCACTCCGGGGTATCACGCATACCACGAGTGGACGGCCAATATTTGAAACGGACCACAAACGCCGCAGCGCGGCTTCGTTCCTGGGAAAGAGAAACGAACGAACCGAGTACGCGCGGACTTTACACAAAAAGTCAAGACTCGATCGAAAGCGTACCGATCTCTTGGTGAAAAATTACGCGCGATCGCGACGTTGAATTTGTTCACGGCGGGACGTCGCTCGTGAGAAATGGCAGAAATTAATTAAGAGACGAACCATTGGGAGCGCGAGGATTTTCAAAGCTATCGCGTTCCGATAATTACTCGGCTCTTCCGTATCGAGTACGACATTACGTTCGAGAAATATGCAACGACGCGATATTTTTGATATAACAGGAGCGCGTTCCGTGAGACTGGACGCAACCGGCGTAATTTACGATTTCATCCACGATCGAGGCTGGCCCGTCTAAAAAGATACACTGTTCGCTTGTTAAGCGGAAAGATAAAGGGGCTGCCTTCCTGGATCGGTGATCGCCGTCGTTGGGGAATGCGGTGTGCGCTTTTTTTCCGCGAACTTGCAATTCGTCGCGGCGTTCTTCGCCAAAAACCGGCGCTCGCCGAGTTATCGAGGAAGCGATTCCATCTCGACCAATCCACGGCTGCGTAATCGCTCGAAATAAGTCGGCCGACGATAAAGTGGTCACGAAGGTTTAAAGAAGTGGCAGAACGATAAAACGGCCGTCGTTTATTTCGATTTTTAAGTTCTCCATTGAAAATTACAATTTACCTATTATTAATACTAATTGACCGATCTTTTTGAATTATTTATAAACCGCTAACGTCGCCTGTTAACCGCGTTAATGTACATTGATATTAACGATCACAATGGCGTCGTACCTTAACTTCTTTAATTTCTCCGCTCGATGCTCCTAATAGCCACTTGGCTCACGCCCGTGTCCGTGTCCGTGCTTCCGTTTCCTGTAACAATTATATTTTTCAATTACGTCACTTTTCCTATATCGCTCACGCGTGAAAATTACAGACGAGAAATAGAAAGAAAACCACCGCTCCCTAAACCGTTTCTTCTAAACGTTTTCAGCAGAGGAAAACGCGTTCGTAATTAATCGTGTAACGACGAATCGGAACGAACGATCGCAAGGAGAAATGGATCTGGATTTTTCAATGGCGTTAGTACGGTCGATTGGCACGCGAGGAATTCCATTGGCCGGTCGGGCGTTGGCAATATCGCGAGCGGCGTTCATTAAAATTCATTAAAATCGATAAGCTCAATTAGACTTCCTCGCGCGCGTATTTCGAAACTCACCCCTCGCCGCGCGATTTTCAACGCGTTCCAGGAATCATTTTAACGACCGTAAAACAGACTCTGTCCGCTTGTTAAGCCGACCGTCCTTCCCCAACCGTGTCGCGATAATCTTCTTTAGATAATCTCGTTAATTGATTATTCTCTCTATATTATTAGTTTCGAGCCTTCGACGGCTATTTCTTTACGCGCTCTCGATCAACAACGATTATTTCAACGGATTAATATCGCGTTTTCTCGATTTCCTCGTTTTACTTATCGCAGACGCGCCGACTTATTGGTTGGTAAATTATGTCGAGAAAGAGCAGAGACGGTGCTATCGTTCGTTAACGCATTATAAGGAGCGACTAATTATTCCCGTCCCCAAGAATATACCGAAGAGCGTGGCGACAATTAGCCATTCCTACGCGAATAGTAGCGCGTTCGTTTGGTCCGTCTACGAATCGCGTTAGGTTCGCCGGAGGAGAGGAAACGTCGGTTTAATTGGCCCGAGCGACAGATATCGCGGGCCTGAAACGAGGAAAAAGCGATTTGCCATGGGGGCCACGTAAGACCGTAGCATGTGTCAGTCCTCGGTGAAGCTTAATGGAACAATGGGGACGGGGAGGCGGCCCTTGGGCAACTCGAGGGCCTGGCAGTCAATGAATCTGCTGGCCTTTTCCCATGCCCGCGAACACCAACGCCAGAGTTCCCTCTCTCTGTACGACTGTTCGGGTCCAGTCGATTTTATTAGCCTCTGACTCATTCCCTCTTTACTCCCCCGCTAGTCTTGCTGCCGGATATCTTGCCTTCTTCTTTTTTCCTCTTCTTATTCTTATTCTTATTCTTATTCTTATTCTTATTCTTATTCTTATTCTTACGCTACGTCTTCGTCTTTGTTTTCTTTTCTCTCTGTTAATGGGGCAGATCGTCACGCAGGACCGTTCCAACGTGGACAGCTATCGTTTCGATCAGCTTTCGTGGATTTTCTAGACGTGGAAGATCGATTTGAAATTCCTGGGAAAATTGTAACGGAACGTTCGATAACGCGGTTGTTGGTTGTCGCCACTTACTCTGCGATAGAAGATTCAAAATTCTTCCATCGAAGATCGATCCTGCAGATCGACTTAAACATTTCCTTCTACGTGCCGAGAAGATTTAAGAAACTCGCAAGATCTTTTAACGAACGAGATGGCGATTTGATCGAGCAAGCGTGCGAACGACGAAACTCAGGACCAACAACGAAGGCAAAAGCGAGGAAGTCTGAAGACGCAGAGGGCGACTAGGATGATCGTGTAAATAGGGAAGAGTCGCCCGGTCCTCCGAGTTCAGCGGACCTGTTTGTCTCGATGCAAACGATCGTGTGAAAGTCTCGCCGCCTCGTTAACGCCACCTTCCGCCAGACCCCGCGAAGGATGGCCGAGAAAGGGAGGAGTCTTTTTAACCGAAGCCCGAGAAGAAGTTGCCAGCCACGACCACGATCAGCGGAGTAAGGGGACCGAAGCATCGTGCTGGGAAGAGCAAAGATTCCGGGCGAACCGAGGAAAATAAACGGACGAAGACCTCCTTCTCTCTTCCCGGCGAATTAGCTACTCGATTAACAGACTGCCGCTTTGTTGCGGATGCTGTCCGAACCGACTCTCGCCTTTTCGACCTTAGGACCTACTGTTTATTGCTTTGCCTTTCTCGCTTCTTTTGATTTCTTCGGGTTGCCTTCCTTTGCCTTTCGACGCCAGTCTCGATCCTTGGGATAACAACGTTGAGATTTTGCTGTCCGATACATAGGAGAAGGGGATGAATTCTACGACGTTCCGATGGGCGTCTGAAATCACGAGCAACGACGACGAACGTAACGAGGTAAGGTCGAGTCGTTCGGAAAGCATGCTGATTAACTTGAGAATTTAGGATGCACAGATAGACGGCGATTACAAGCTGCTTTCCCAAATGGGACTTTCACAAACGAGGCTGCCACGATTACCTAAAATCGTAGGGTTCCGTCAAGCGTAGGCATGGGTAGCGTTACAGCAAACTTCATCAGGGTTCAAATGACAGAGCGATCAGTTTATCTTCAGAACACCTTGTATAAATTCCTCGAAAGCCCCCAACACTGTACCAACCCAACGACATTCTTCCCAAAGAATTTTCCCACCACGAAAGCGAACAAAAAAAGAAAAGAAAAAGAAGAAGAAAGAGGGAAGAGTATCGCTCGTGTCGTACACACACGAGCGCACAACGATGTTCGATTTTCCCGAATTTTCTCAATCCCGTGTCCCTTCTCGTAACCTTCCTTGGAGTCTTGGAAACCGGGAGGAAGCTGGAGCGATCGAATATCGAAGAAAAAATAGCGCGAAATCCAGCCTGGAATTCCGAAGGAAGAAAAGGAGACGCGGTAGCGGGACCCCTTTGAAACATAGTCTCATTATTTGCAAATCCGATAAATCTCTCTCGTTCGTGGCGGCTTCCACGAAGTTCGCGGTGGAATCGGGCCACGCAGATTGCCAGAGTATCGCGTGCTGCTGGCCATCTTTTGGCCAGGTTTCGGTACCTGGACCCTCCGCCCTTTCATCCATCGGCAAAAATCTCCCTCCTCCTTTCGCCCCGGTCCACTTCGTTCGCCGATACCTCGTTCGTCTCGGTCCTCCGCGTGCGGCCCCTGTGGCACTTTCGGCCGTGGAAACGGTGAGAAATATTCGAGGTCAAGGTCGCGGAGGAAGGATACTCGCGCACGAGCCGTTTCTCTTTTAATCTGCGAGGAACCGCGCTTGCGATCAACGAGTTTTGTCTTTTACCTTTGATTTCGAGCGTATGTACCGTATAAGTTAATTTTTCGGCCCGCAAATGTTCGCGAAGGATTAGGAAACGCGCGAAGACGACTCATACGACGGTCTCGGAAGAGCGAGACAAGAATCGTGCGATTTCCAGAACAAACGTATTATTTTCAGACAGGTTTAATTGAGATTTCACAAGCCAGACCAATCGTAATCATGGCAAACGCAATCTTATCGTACGATTCCTTTTAAATTTTTATTAAATATCCTCCGTACATGTAACGTACCAAGCAACGATCGATTATCCACACGCGAAATGAACGAGAAGTTTTTCATACGTGCGTTCCTATGGGGGTTTCTCGGCGTGCTATCCTCGATCCTCAATCTCGCTGGCTCCGTCTTTTCTTTCCACGAAACGCTTTCGGCAAGTCAGCACGGAACCGGATGAAAAGCATGGCGCGCGTTTCTCACGCAGAGATTGGATCAAAGACGCGAAGCACGCGCGAACCGTTGATTTACCACGAGAAACGAGTCGCGCCAATCGAACCGTATTATCGGGCTATTCGTATCGTTCGATAGCCGCGCGGTGTATTTTCACGCGTGCGAAAGCCCGCCGTATGTTGCTTCGACGGACGTCGATATCGTATCGGTCGACTCTGTATCGTTCGTGGCTTTTAACCACTTTGGTTACGCGAGATCCATAAAAGTCACAGGTCTTGAAATTCCGAAATTGTTCGAATACCTCGTTGCCGACCAGCGAATTTCATATTTTTCTCTTTAAAAGTTGTCTTCGATCGAATACCAGAGACGCTACTAGACCGAAAGATAGACTCACGTAGTCGTCCGCAATAATCGCGTCGAACCAACACGAAATCCCATTAAATTTCTAATTCGAAACGCCGAAAACTCTAATGGACGAAATCGTGTCATTTGTGATCCGCTTGGTTTCACAAATTTGTCAAAAGTCTGGGGTAGACTCCAGCGGCCAGCAGGCGTCCACGGGACGGATGCAAAGTGTCGGCGTTCCATTAAAGCCGGGCTTTCAATTCCGACCAGCCGAAACGAACCCATCAGCCCGGCCCATATTCCAGAAACCATCAGCTCGGAGCTGGAGGCTCCGCAACAAGCTCCACGAACGCGATCGTTGCTCGCAATCTCGTCGAAGCTGTTCCCTTCTAAACGCGGCCCGAAACCCGAGCCGAACATTTTCGGCCTTCTCTTCGTGCCCGATCCCTCCGGAGCAAAAAGGATCTTGCCATATCCTTTGATCCTGCCAGGGAGCCGTTCGTTCCCTTTCTCTTCTTCTTCTTCTTCTTCTTCTTCTTCTTCTTCTTCTTCTTCTTCTTCTGCTTCGTACTCTTCCCTCGATTCCTTCTACCATTGGGCCTGGAAGGAAGGACCTCCCCGGGACTTGGTCGCTGCTCTGGAGGTCCCGTTCCTCCCTTCTCGCCCCTCATAGGCAAACGGCAGGCTAACGGACGAGCCAGAGAAGGAGACCGACAGAACGGACTCCGACGAAGACGAAGAGGTTCGACGTGGTGCGAGCAAAAGACCTGCAAAGGACAAGGTCTCGTTTTGTTCCTTCTCGATTGCCTTCGTCCTTTTCTTTTCAGCTTCCTGAGCCGTTTCCAATGGGTGCGGTTTTTTCTCTACTTTCATCCTCTGGGGGTTGAAGTTTGAATTTTCAAAGGATTAAAATATCTTTCGACCATTGGAGAAACGCTTCTCGGTTTTCAGGGAATTGTGGCGGTACGTGGGATGGAACAGCGCGATTGATGGATTTGGAACGAACGTGTTCGACGATTTAGTTGGAAATTGTTCGCAGACGTGAAAGGTGAAGGCATAGTTCGAGAATCTGCTTGACGTTGTTACGGAGAAGTTTTCAGGTTTCGAAGAGACGAGCAGTAGCG